GTGGGCCCCAGACGGGTGCAGAGATGCCAGGTGGGCAGCTCAGACCAGCCAGCCAGTGCACTATGACCTATGACCATTGCTGGCCCTGGACTAAGTGGACATGGCTCTGGCTGGCGCTGTGCCTGCCTAGAGGTGCAAGGGCTCAGAGCCCTCCCGGAAGACAGGAGGACAGAGACTTTGCACTGAGGTTGCATCTCTTCCAGCCCAGACACTCTCCACAGCCCACGGGGTCCAACAGGAGGGGACACATCAGGTGGACATGCCGTGTGGTGAGCCATCCTTAGAAGAGAGGTGAAGCAGGGTCATGTGGGCCTCAGAAACACTTGCTTCAAAGGGTGGGAGACAGAGGCAGCATGTGGGCCTCTTACACGCGTGCACGCACACTGGGCATCGGGGCAAAACCCGTAGCTTTCTAGCTCTGTGCACTTACGAGAACTACTGTCTACCTCGTGGACAGGGCTCTGCGCACCACGCTTCCTGGTTCATAGCGCACAGGGCCCTGTGCACCCCGCTTCCTGGTTCATAGGGGAAAGGGCCCTGTGCACCCCGCTTCCTGGTTCATAGGGGACAGGGCGCTGCGTACCCCGCTTCCTGGTTCATAGGGGAAAGGGCTCTGTGCACCCTGCGTCCTGGTTCATAGGGCACAGGGCCCTGCACACCCCACTTCCTGGTTCATAGTGGCTTTGAGCTGTGTGTCCCCAGTGGTGGTTTACAGTGACAGGTGTGGCCCTCCCTGGGCGCTCATCTGCTGTCTTTTCACCTTCCTAGGTGAAGTCATCGACCCTCTGTAAGGGGCAGGCCTTGGCTGCCCCGGCCTTCCGAGAGGCGGAAGACAAGGCAAGTCGGAGTTTTTCTTTACAAGGAGGACAGCTCTCCCCTTCTCCCCTGTGTCGCATCTGGGCTCAGCAAGTCCCCAGAAAGCATAGCTCCCTCTCCTTTTGCCACGGGAAAACCATCTTTTGGAAATACTTGCGAGACAGGTGTGTCCCGGCTGAGACGGCTATGGCAGCGCTCAGCCCGGTCTCGTATGGGAAGAAGACGCTGTTAGCCTTGCCAGGAGCTCAACTCTCCCCTGTGAGTGACAACATCCACTGTCTCTGGGATGGAGCAGGGCCCCTCCCAGGCCACTCTCCCTACTATGGTCATTGCTTCCAGAAAAGTCTATTGTCCCCAAGGGAGCAGGCAGAATAAGTTGTGGTGGGGCCAGGGATGTGTGATTGGAGACTGAGTGGGCGGGGGAATGCTTGGTCACGAGGGTGTTGGGGACAGTGGACACGGAGCCTCTCCCCAGCAGGTGCTTCCAGCACAGGAGACCCTGAAGGTAATTGGTAGTTGGGCAGCTACCTGCGCTGTGGGGTAATTGGGCCCTGGGGCCAGCGTCCATGCACGAGGGCAGGCAGCCAGCTGTGTCTTCCCCGGTGCCTCTTTAAGCTGCGAAGGCTCAGGTCAGGCCTGTGGGCTCAGGACTGGAGGGAGCTCAGAGGGTGAGCGGCCTGGTGAGTCGGAGCCCAGAGGAGAAGAGAGGGGGCTGCGGGGGCTGAGGCCTGCAACGACCCGCAGCTCTCAAGGCAGCCCCCATGGGTCCTCCCTCTTTGTGAAGGGACCCCCGGCTCTGGTCCCTCAAGGAAGTGGATGGAACAAGGCCACAGCCGCGATACCACCCTGGCACTGGCTGCGACACCCAGGGCACAATGCTCCCACCCTGCCTACCTCTTCAGGACTTGGCCCAGCTCTGGCCTCTCGC